CACACGGTCACATCCCTGCATTCAATTTAATGTGTGCTACTTTTAGGTTTCAGTTCTTCGTACAAAGATACCTTGCAAGCGGTCCGACAGAGTTTATGTGCGATTGCAAACCCGAACACAACGGCAGTAAGGTCACAAAGTTTCTAACGTGCTCCAAGATTTCAATTTGAAATTGTCTGAACCGGAATAGTCAAGAGAGCCGTGGACGAGAGAAAGATTACCAAACCCGTGGGATATAATCTGACTTGACAGATAATGTGAATCGATCTTAAATTGTGGACCTATTAGGTAAATAGCTGCATAATTTACAAGTTTTATTTGTACTTGTGCTTCCATAGTTTCTGTAAAGAGAAGGCTGAGTATTGGGTCGCTGCAATGAAGTGATAGAAAGCCCTACGTTCAGTCTGTCGAGATGCTTCCCTGTTTCTAACTCAAAGGTTCTTCCAAAGAAGGTGCTTATTACTAATTTCTAAATTGCATGAAAAACCGTTTATTTGATTTTTTAAGAAGAAGTTAATGGGTTTCAAGAACAATAAATTTGATAAATATGTAAACTTTTTATTGCTTACCAATATTTTAAACATTAAATAACAATAAATTACACAATAATAAAAAGGGCACCTTAGTTATAGTGAATTGGCAATTTCAAATTGAAATCTTGGAGCACATTAGAAACTTTGCGACCTTACTGACGTTGTGTTCGGGTTTGCAATCGCACATAAACTCTGTCGGACCGCTTGCAAGGCATCTTTGTACTAAGAACTGAAACCTACAAGTAGCAAACATTAAATTGAATGCAGGGACGTTCACGTACGCCAACGACTTGGTGCATGGTCTTATACAGCCGGGTTTTGAGGGGCCATTCCTTCGTGCTAGCGGTGAGTGTCGGGTCCATTGATGTAATGCACAAACAATAAAGTTACGTGACGGCCTGTTTGTGTCAGTTGTCATCTACAATCTGGCTGTCTTATTGGAGGCGGTAGGAAAGCAAATTTGTATATTTATGCCAGTAGGAGCGTTCCAGTTTTATCACCGTAGTAGCCGTCCGGTTTATTAGCGATTCGTAGGTATTTGAAATGTCTTGGGTTACGATTTGTGAACATGGGGCTTATACTGTCCTTTTCGAATTTTATACTGCCGCAGCGAAACATGGCTCTTGGTATAACAACGTCAAAAGTCTGTGAGTTTAAATGTACATTACGATTTACGAATATGTTTATTCATTATAACAGATACCAGCTTGTGATGAAAACAATAACCTAACCTACATTTTAATTAATAACATTGCAACTTTGACGTTTCTTTCGCATGCGCAGATTGTACGGAGTTTAGGCCTTTTATCTTAACACGTCCAATCACCTAGCAGTCAGCAGTTCTCAACAAATTATAAATATTACATCAATTTCGATACGAAGGTATAACGCTTGTCTTTAAATGGTAAAATAACGGCAATTTTACGTTCGTAAAATGCGCTAAAAACTTATACGATATTCAAATGGTACGTAATACGTATATAATGTAATGATATGCAAATATGCACATAATGTGCTAGGGGTATTATCGTTATCACTTTCACTATAATAATCGCTTGTTTACCTCAGAAGTTAATTATATTTAGATTTGTACTTGTACCATAATGATTTCCTAATTATTGTAATCAATATTAATGTTTTATAAGTAAAAGAAAATAAGAAAATATTTGTTAATGTCTTTAGGAAGGGGTTCTATATATATTGCAACTGAATTGTTATACTCAGTTAGTTTCCTGTACAACCTGGTCAAAATGGACGCCACTGAGGCCAAACGTAAAATTTAGTTGAACGTGTATGATTATTTTGTAAAAGAAAAAAATCATGGTGGAGTACTTACTTCAGTAATGGCAGTTCAACAAAGAACAGCGGATGCGGTGCAGGTATCGAAACAAACAGTTGTGAGGACATGTGCTATGCGAGAGATTGGAAGTGATTTAAAAAGAAATCCATATCGCCGTTCTAAACCACGTAGGACGGACCTACCAGAAAATAAAAAGCATACCATCCGATGTCTGATTTATGATATGTACGCAAATATAGAGCACGTAACTCTAGATACTTTGTTGGCGGCGATAAAATTGAAAGACTTGTGTGATTTGGGCAGAACAAGCTTGTTCTATACTTCTATGCACTGAAAGAAATGGGCTTTAAATTTAAGATGACCAATAACAGACGGGGTTTGTGTGAACAAAGTCATGTGGTTTCCATGCGGAATGTGTTTTTGCGAAAATACATCAAAAATCTCGAATCCGAAATTCCGCATGATTTCGTTTTTTTAGACGAAACCTGGGTGTTTAGCAGAGGCGCGACAAAGCGTATACTTGGCAAGATGACAGCGTTAAAAGTTTGCAACAACCTCATAAGGCTTCAGATGGTAAACGATACATAATTATTCATGCTGGTGGCAGAAATGGGTTTATAGAAGGCAGCAGCTTAATATTTTCGAGTACCAACAAATCGTTCGATTACCACGACAATATGAACGCCGAACTAGTTGAAAAATGGTTTGAAGAATCTTTCTTAAAGAAACTTGCTCAGCCCTCAATTATTGTTTTAGACAATGCATCTTATCACACGCGGAAAAGTGAAAAGATTCCAACAGCTTCTTCAACCAAAGAGGAAATTTCGAATTGGTTGAAAATTTGATACTACGATGTTTAAGGCCGAATTGTTAGAAATTGTAAAAAATCACAGTCAAGCAACCATAACTAAATATGTTATCGATGAAATGGCATTACAATATGGCCACGAGGTTCTGCGTTTACCATTGCCATTTCAATCCCATTGAACTGGTATGGGGAATTTCGAAAAAATTTTACGATGACCATATTGTTGCCACGCCGGGAAGACAAGAAGATGTTCTTAAAATCTGGAACGACGCGTAGGCTAAAGTAACTCCAGACGAAATACAGAAGAAATACAGAAGAAATAATCAAGGATACCTTCAATCGTGAAAAAATTATAGACGATGTAAGGCCTTTAGTTTTTACTGTAAATACAGGAAATGATGAAGAAAGCGATTATTTAAGTGAAAGTGACAACGACGCGTGAATTCATATGGACTTAATTCATGTCGATTATTATAATAGGTAGCAATTAAGTAAATAATGTACATATTTTCATGTTTATTTGTAACAAATGTTGTAATTTTTAATGTGAATTGATAAAATACAAGCATAATTTCGTATCGTAACTGGTGTAATATTTATATTCTGTTGAAAACTGCTGACTGGTGGGTGATTGGTGCTTATTGTTCTATTCATTTAAACAAGCCGTAAGGATTGTTTTGAACGACTTTCGCCCTTAAAAATCCGGTTTTTCCCATACATTTAAGATGCAAATCCAATAATACCATGTATCGCAATACTATTGGGAACACCCCCAGCGTTAATGAGAAAAGTAACATTATTTTCTGAATACACTATACCATTGCGCTGTATCTCTTATTATGGGTACTCTTTGGTGATATAATCGTGTTCGATCCGATTTACGTGTTTTTATTTATATTTAGATGCAGTATGTTTCCTTAGGGATGAGATTCACTCGCCCCCAGTGACGTACGTTAGGTGGTTGATTGTTACATATTGCACTTGGCATTGTGAATTAATTACTTGATACTAATGTTTGCCACGACATGTTCTTTGTGTTTGTTGTAATGTGATACTATCTTTATGTTCCTACTATTTATTTGAACCGGGTGATTATTAATATTTGGCAGGGTGACTTGTTTCGAATAGGTACTGTGCTATATTTAATATCGATATACAGGGTGATTCCTATAGTACCTACCACCGTTTGGGAGCGTATAGGGGGTGCCTAGGGGAGTATTTTGATATAGGACACTTGGGGTCGGAAATCTAAAATAAGGGCGCCAGAACCAAATTTATATTCTGGAATTTCACGCCTGTATGTAGGCAACCCAACCGACCGACGTTTCGCGCGGAGCGATGCAGAGCGAGTAAGCGCGAGGAAGCGACATGGGAGGGAAGGAGGGAAAACGACAGTCAAAAGCAATAACGTTTACAAGTGTTCAACGTGGCCACCGTTGTTCTCAATGCACTTCCTACATCTAGCCAACTAATTATTATACTATTGCCATAGTGTTTATTCACTTGATACGCGTCGTTGCAGACGGGATTTCGTGGGTTTAAACAAAATTCTGATCAAGTGTCAGCCACATATCGCCGCCTGAGATCGCTCCGTGTGCACCGCCGGCCGGTTGGGTTGCCTACCTACAGGCGCGAAATTTCAGAAGGTAAATTTGGCTCTGGCACCCTTATTTTAGATTTCCGACCCCAAGTGTCCTATATCAAAATACTCCCCTACGCACCACCTACACGCTCCCAAACGGTGGCAGGTACTATAGGAATCACCCTGTATCTTGTAGCGACTCTTAAAAACACAACGTAGTAAGTGGTCCTATTATTCGGTTATTCAAGTTAGGTAGCTTTGTCTAGACGATCACGTGCCATATGGGGTTCAGTTAGTTTGGGAGGGAAAGTTTTGAATTTAAATCTTGAGTTGCGCCGTCTCTCGGGTCTGGCCTGGGTACATCCATTTTCCAGCTTTATAGAATCGGAGGCGGACATGCATCTATCATGGAAGTGTCAACAATACTTCTATATCTAGCATTGTTTGCAGATGCTGGCCTCTAAGCCACTGGGGACAGATCAACTTTAAATCAAGTAGTATTCGAGATAAAGGTTGAAAGTCGAATATATTTTGTGGGCTCCTAATCGAAAGAGATCAAAAGTCAATATTTATGCATCACTCAGCCTATACAAACAAAATCCTCTTGTCAATTTGGAATATCCGAATATAATCCAATTATTGGTGTACTAGCAGACTAGCTGGTCCTCAGTGCATCTGGCATTTAGTTGCCTTTTATACTAGTGTACACTTTGCCCTGTATCATGTCAATTTATTGCTATTTGACATTTGCTCTAGTCTAGTAAATGGCGACTCTCTCGAAAGAGTGCATATACTTATGCGCCTGCGATGTTTTCATCAAACGTAATCGTTTCTGTTCTGTTCGGTAGGATAGTTGGAAATTAAAACTGTATGCATATAATACACAAATTTTACTCCTTTGTTTTTATAGAATTCAAAAATAAAATACAACAGAATAATGCAATATGAATAGTTACAAGTAAATATATACAACAATATCTCAAACAACCATGACAATGTTAAACACATACCAGGCATTCTGCCGATTTATAATATTGAGAGTTGAGACCAATTTTGAAGATGTAATTGCTACATAATGCTAAACACCCGTCCATTACATTACAAAATCGTTTTGTGCAAAGAAATCTAAAATCTATGAAAAGCATGATTCTGTATAGGACATTATCCAATCTTACTATTGGCGAAAAGCAATTACATTCACCAAGTACCAAATATTAGTTTAATTTTGTTTTTATTGTACTGCATAATGTACATCAAGTTACATGAATATCAAATACTTTGCTTGTGATGATGTTGTAATGTGAGTAAACATATATACGTAAGAGATCATTTAAAATCCTATAATTAATCATAATGCCAATATTTCATTTATATCACAAGTGTTACTCGCTAATAAGAAGATTGTGATGTAGCCCAAATTGCAAACAAATTTTTCTTCTTGGCTCTCAGCAACAAAGTATTTTCCATGTGAAATGACAAATACAGCTACTATGATCCAAAGTTACTAAACTAAATAGAATTCTGAAAAAACTGTATCAATTTATACTGCTGCTGTTGGCTACAGTATCACTGTTCTGTTTACTTTCGTATCAATAATTCAAGTGGCATATAAGAATGAATGAATATACTTTTTTTTGTTTGCAAGAAAGCAGTTTGTTGGCAAGTTATTACAGAAATGATTCAATTACAAATATGCAAATTGCAGGCTAAGAGAAGCAAACATTTACAAAAGATGTAGCAAGATGGTAAAACCAGCCTGTCAGTGCGCACCAACTTCTTCATGTATCATTAGCAAGTCAATTCGACACATATCCGTACACAACTATTATGTTTGCTAAAAAAATTATTTTGTAAGAGAGCTGCTAAAGTGGATATAAATTATGCATCTCTGATGGTATCCTTATTTGTGCAATTACCTGTTTACGCATTCACACACACAATCACACTCAGTTCTTACGTAAATGGGAGGCCACAGTACATTGGTTTCCCACTCACACTTATATAAAATATAATTTCCCCACAAATGAGGCATAAATAAAGGATTTGTACTCTTAGAATGCTGTAACCGATGAGAGGAAAAATGGAGTCACCTCTCCATTCTCCACACAGAAAATATCCTAACACTGTACAGTACTTTCGTTTTTTTTTATACACAAAAACTCCATACGGAGTTAAAATTGGTACCTATCGACACATACAAAAGAAGGAAAATAGAAGGAGGATCAACCCCCACATAGGGGCAGATTCGAAATGTGTGGGCCCACAATCCTACTTATGTATATGTTATACAGGAGGACACAAGTATATAATCTCCTAGTGGTAAGTTAAATGTGTGCAGCCCATGGGGGCATGAGAATTGCCCCTTTACATATACAATATGGTATTTAATTTAAAATATGTACAATATACATAAATAATTTATATATTATAGTAGTGAATACGATGATAGGTGGCCGAGGTGGCAAATACAGTAGCAATCGACGTGATGTTCATTGACTAGAGGAGACGCGATATATGTGATAATCGGTACTGGCTCAGAACGCGTCAACAACCTCTATTCGATTTTCTATAGTACTTCCATTTCAGACAATGTTAAGCGACTAGTTGACATCGCCACTCCACTATCACTTGAACCCGACTGCACACTTGAATGATCATCCGTATCACTTTGATTACTAGTATAACCAATCACGTCGACTTCATCTGAAACAAACAGCAATATTATTATTATTGTTACTCATCAATAATAAAAGGTTATCCCTAATTACTGTTACTCGTATACTGAAGAATGATATATGCAGTCGCCATACAAACAATCCGCATTAAGCAACCAAAAATAAAGTTTTTAATTCTATGAATTAGCTACTACTACTAAAAAACTACAGTGACATCAGGCATACTCCAATGCCCTTTTTCCCACAACAGACTGGTAGGTAAGATATATGAGTGATGTTGAATAAAAATCACAAGTTTTCTTTTTAGTTATCAAATCAATATGCACAAATGCACAAGATTAAGAAACTTTGTAGCGAAGAATAGGTAAGATATAACCCAATCCCCAGCATATTACCTAATAACACTTGTCAAGTTTGGTATGTGTTGAAGTCCTACCCTAGTTATAAATACTGTATGCCTTCAAAGCGATAAAGAAGGACCTTTGTCTGGTTCGAAAATTTGATTAATGGTTAAACTTTTGCTACCCTTTAGGTTTTGAAGTATTTAGCTTTGAAATTTTGGCCTCAGTGACAAATACGTCTTGTTCACACCTTCCATTTCTGTTTCTGACACTCAGTTTTCGAGAATTATGCACACTCTTCCCCTCCCTTTCTCAGGTGGAGTGTTGAATATAAAATATTTTTATATTCAAAGAGTGGAGGGACTTGGTATGGAAATTTTGATGAAACTTAAATTATAAATTGAACGATATGCATTGTCGAACACACAAACACCAATAACAAACGTACAGTCACATTTAACAACAAAACTCAAACCCTACACTACTAACTTCTTACAATCAGATGGGCTTGGGTTGAGAAACATCCATTAAACACGAAGCGAAAACTTCGGTTTTATAATACACTGATGATTTGGGTAAAAGCGAAAGTTAAGATCATACATCGCCTCTAATCCCATTTACAGACGCCACCCTTCCCAATTGAAATGTGGTACGAAACGTCAGTGGCGCACCCAGAAAAAAAATTCGGTGGGGGTTATTGAAATTAGTAAATCCAAAATGTTAACATAAATTATATTTTTAATAAACAAAAGATTACACAGTTACACTTACACTTTGTCCGAAAAAAACATAAGAACATAAAAGAAATTATTTATGACTAAAAATATTAAGTTAAACTAAGTTTTAATTTTCTAGGTTTCTGTGCGAATTTCTCTAAAATATTTTCCACAGAAGGGGTTATGTTTCTATAAATGTTTAGAAGAGTTAAGCCATTTAGTTGGTTTTCGGAAGAACTATTTCTTAAATAAGTTTTGAGTCTTCTCAAAGTTGAAAAACTACGTTCGCCTTCCGCAGTAGAGACAGGCAATGTAGCTAATATAGCAAGTAATACCCTAATATTTGTAAAGGTGTCTGTAACGTGTTGTAAAGCACTTAAGGCATCTCTGGGTCGATCTTCATTTGGCAATCTGGCGATTGCTCTGTACCAAAGTCTAAGTTCGGCAACTAGCCCATCTATAGTTCCTGTCAAATCTTTATAAAATGATACTAAAGACTGGAATTTAGTTAAGGTTTCCTCGGAGAGAATGGTCGGATCTTTGGGAAATAGGGCTTTGAAAAGCCGGTCAATTATTTGTTTGTGTTTTTAAAAGATCGGGAATGTTTATTATATCATAAACGATTGTAGGGAAGATTATTTAAAAAAATCTATCAGTGTTTTAATTTGGGGGGGGGGGGGGCCCCCGAAACCCCCCTATGGGTGCGCCACTGCGAAACGTCGTTTGAATTCATGTCCAGCAGGCAAGCTTCCATCATATAAGACCTTGCTTTGATTTATAACGCAAACCAATGACAATCCTTTAGACGAGTATGCATCACTTATAACGACGGGGAATAAACCGTTATTTCGACATAGGTCTTTAATTAATATGTAATTGCAATGCAATTATGTAAAAAATAAGTAAAAAAAATTGTGGACACTTTTTAGAAAGCATAATAGAAGAATGAAACCCTAGATTTTGAATAGGTATGCCATTATCGATTTTCTAAAAACATATATACCGAAATTCTATCTCAAGATAGCGCATTCCGAAATGGAGATATGTACTTTTATGGAGATAATTTTAGAAGAAAGAATACTGTATATGCTCTGGCCCCTTGGCAATTTAAGCCATGGTGTACAAACTGCAAGTTTGGTCTCAGTGTACCGAGACACTTCCACCTATTGGGCTCTTTATGTTTTCGTATGAAAATCACGACCGTCCGCATTTCATTCGAAACGCAGGTTAAACCAAAATAGTTGTTTATGAATAATGTAGGAAAATGTATCAATTAAACACTTGTGGACGTCAGAGCACTCACTCAATCCGTGCTTTCAAGAGTATTGCGGAAATGCATACACACATTTAAATGCTTATTATATGTCTTCCCATTTCTTTCGTTTTTCCCTGGGTTTTGAATTAAATGCGCGTGATCGTGATTTTGGTAAGAAAACACCATGAGATTCCACTAGCGGAAGTGTGATACACTCTGCCCAAGCATGTTGTATCTCTTGCATTGTATCTACCACAGATTAAATTCGTTTATGCTTATATCGAAGATGGGGGTCCATACTTCTCTTATTTTAGACCGTATTAGCGATAAGGAATAAAGGCGGATGTGACTAATTCTTTCGCTGAAATATGAGATGCCCACCTTATAGAATTTTGTTTTGTTTGATATATAAGCAAATTGAATTGTGTCTAGTTTCGATATTAATATAGATGTCAAATTGATGAATACAGAATCCGTACTCGTTGGTAAATTTACGTGTTATAAATGAGACTACAAGTAAGTTTTAAATAATAATACAATCTATAAGGACCGTTTTAAATTTAGTTTATTGTTAATAGTTTTAGTTTCTAGTTAGTCTAGTGTTTTTGCTGTATGTTTTAAATATTTGCTAATTTTGCAAAAGATAACGGCGTGCAATGTAATATCATTGTATTTTTCGTTTATAAATACAATGGTAATATGTACTTATTGACTTTTTCTCAATAATTAAATTAATAGTTTTGTAGTAGAACCGAATTTGCCCGCTAAAATTCCATTTAAATATTCCGAAACCCGCCCTTGGCGCGACGAAAGAAGTCAAGATTGCGCTTTGTTTCGTTTCCATGGAACACGTGTTTTTTTTCTTCTCTGCTCTACATTGAAATGGGCTATAATTTACAATAAAAGTGTCAAATATAACGCTATACGGGGGAACTTAATGATCCCTATCGACCCGACATCTAGGAGCACGGTCGATATTAACAATTTTCATCTAAGATTTGCTTAAAAAGGGAAGGTTTAGGCAGAGGTATGTGTGCTTTTGTTGAGGGCAGAAGTAATTTTTACGTTTCGAGTAGTGAGAGTAACTTTGACAATTACAAAGGTTACGTATTCATTTTTATCTTTACATTTATTGCATCCATCTAGTAATTATATGATCGTGTTAAGATTATTTGCCGAATTAACGACATTCCAGTATAGCATGGATTCTACTATATGTTGTTTTCCAATTTAGAGTAGTCCTTTGTTCTAAGCGCTGGTTTTGTCTTCCAACTCGCAATATGAATTACTGACCGATTTACGTGTTTTTATTTAGATTTAGATACCGTATGTTCCCTTAGGGATGATATTCAATCCAGAACTACATTTTAATTTATAATTTAATTTATTGCAGCACATTTCCCTTTTTTGTGCATGAATATATTACTGTTTATTTACACGGTACTTCATCTGAGGACGAGTGACGTACGTTAGGTGGTTGATTGTTACATATTGCACTTGACATTGAGAATTAATTACTTTATAGTTTATACTAATGATTTGCCACGACATGTTCCTTTGTTTTGTTGTAATGAGACACGTAACGTTATGCTCCTACTATTTATTTGAACCGGGTGATTATGATTATTAATATTTGGCAGGGTGACTTGTTTCGAATATATACTGTGCTATATTTGATACTGATATTTAATCTCGATTTGACATAGCAGAGGCTGGCTAAGTTCAAAACTGACATACGCAGAGATATATATGTTTTATGTACTGTTTTTTTGTGTGAAAAGAGCCATCTTGTCGATATTACTAAGCAATTCGTTTAGTCGATCCCTGACATGTAGTGACCGAATATTGGTTTTATGACAGTCTTTGTTATGCCAGTGCAAACATGCCAACTGTCAAAGCCTACATAAATGCTATATATTTTGTTTGTGATTATGTATGCGTGCGAGTTTGCCGATGGTTGCTCTGTTATTTTTGTTATGTCATGATTTGTCTTTGGCCCGGAGTTCGGTCTTTTATAACCCGACACTTTATAACTAACAGAGCTGGGTACTTGCTCGCAAAAAGCGCTCCAAGCAGAAAAAGCGCTTGCTCGCGAGCACTTTTGGGAGCGGCCGCTTGGTGCTCGATACTCGAGCGTTTACTTAAAGTGTTCGGCGCTCGAGCGCTTTTTTTCCGCCCGCACGCTCTTTTTCCGCTCGTGAGTGCTTTCTCCGCTCGCGAGCGCTTTTTTCCGCTCCCGAACGCTTTTTTCCGCTCCCGAGCGCTTTTCCGCTCCTAAGCGCTTTTTCGCTCGTGAGCACTTTTAACCATCCTCAAGCGCTGAAGGATTAAGGCCGCTCGCGAGCTGTTTTTCCGCTCGAGAAAAACCGCTCGAGCACTTTTAGGAGTGCTTGGAACTCGCAAGCGGTTTCGCTTTGAAAAACAACTCGATGCTCGCGAGCATTTTTGAGACAATTAGATCGCTCGTCGCTCGAGGGGTTTTTTTAGAACCCTCGACCCAGCTCTGATAACTAGTGGGTTGGACTGGTCCTAGAGATGTCTGAATGAATGAGTTGGGGTCCCACTTAGGCTGGCTAATCTCGGCCTCACTTGCGCAGGGATCCGCTATAAGCGTGCGGCGTGTTCTCGTTGTGACCTTTTGTTTGGTTATATCAATTGGGGTATTCTTCCTATGTGAAATGTCCTTCTGAGAGGTCAATTTCTAGCGTTTTCACACAATGTTGGCATGTCATGACCACAGCAACTAAAGACTACTCGGTGCGGGAATTGGACTGGCCATCCAATATCCAAACTTCTTATGTGAATTTATTGTAATGTTTATGTTTTTTATGTTAGATGTGTGAAATATTGTTCTTTAGGAATTTCAGTGGAACCTGTGATTCGACATTATATTAATTTACTTGACAACCATCAGAATATGCATTCATGCCATTATAGACAACTAATTTTGCTATAAAGTTTAATATTAATTCGTTGGCTAGTTTTTTTCTTGGTCAGTTCTTTTTTTTCCCAACCTATTGCTATATTTGCACTCTGTGAACTACCATTTTCTAAATTTAATCTTATATCTTGTAGCGACTCTTAAAAACACAACGTAGTAAGTAGTCCATTTTGTTATTCAGGTTAGGTAGCTTTGTCTAGACTCTAGACGATCATGTGCCATGGGGTTTCGTTAGTTTGGGAGGAAAAGTTTTGAATTTAAATCTTTGAGTTGCGCAGTCTCTCGGCGCTGGCCTGGGTTCTTCACAGTTCTATACAGAGTTTAAACGATAAATTTATTTCCGCCCCCCCCCCCTCCTCTTCCACAGGAATATGCCTATATCCGCCACTGACTGCAATTGTACATTTTTTGATTGGGTATTAATCGATCGCAAAACTTTAAACTAGCATCACCTGATACCAATTAAATATGCTTCAGAATTATTTTATTCTTGCAACTATCATAGTATACATTTTGATATGCTAATTGAAAATCAAAAGAAGGGAAGTCTAGATATTTACACCATCAATGTACCTCGCCTTTATTTATATATTTTAACTTAAAAGAGTTTGTAATAAAGTGGTTTTGGAAAGTAGCATACATTACTTTTGAATATGTAACTAAAAAACTAGAGACAAAGACTTTTGCGTAAGTTGACGTATTAATACCTAACGTATAATGAAAGTCGACGAGTGGTTGCCAAAACGAAGGTCAAGTCTAACCTTCTAAAAATACCTGCAATTCATTTTCGCAACGATTTACGTGCTGACACACTAATAGAAATCTATTACGTAAGTGGACACTGCACAATTTTGTTTTATTTGTATAATCATTGCCTACTCATAAATACTTAACACGCCAAAATTTTTTGTTGTATACAAGGTAGTAGCAAATTAAATTATTAAAAAAAAACATTGGGGTGGGTCTGGGTTCTGGGACAATACCATGAAGACTAAGTATGTAAAACTGTTAGATATAATCTATATAATCATTCTTTTAGTTTTGAAAAATAAATTCTTTTGAGTAGAGTTGAAATGCAATTTTATCTGAGCGATCGCTTTTCGAACAGCAAAATCGAATCTCCAAAAAAATATTTAAAATCGAAAAATAAGCTTTGTGCTTACATGACAGTAACTTAATGTTATTGAAATGATTGTCCATTGATTCCTCGTTTCTTCTATTAAATGAAACAGTTTTTCAAATAGTTTGTCAAATAGGCACACGGTACTCTCAAGAGATAAACAACAGGGCGCAGACAACAGCTACTTATGCAGTTTAAGATATAATTATGAATGTTACAAATGTAAAATTGAGCTTCGAATACAAATTTTAATAAGAAAAGGCAAAATGTAGGTAGAAATCAATCAAATCGGAATTTTGTTTTGAAAATTTGCATCCCCGCTGTATTTTAAGTCACAACGACAATCCGAGTTGGAATTTCTGAAAATTTGTACATAAACATCCTTGCCAGTTAAAATGTTGGCAATTTTAAACCTTCTGGTTGTATGAGAAATTTACTCACAAATCGCGAATTTTAAATTGAATATTTTAATGTGATTTTTTTAATCTACCCTAAACAAAATTTGATGTCACCATAGTCCTTTTTCGACGATATCAAATGTACTGTTTGGACAATAAATTAAACCATAAACAACACACACTGCAATAAAGACAGGCAGACAGAAAACAGCGAAATTTTTCCAAATTTTTTTTGTGTAATGCAGTAAAAAGGTATACCCAACACTGCTTCTGAAGTCGAACCTAGAAACACAAGAATCAAAGAAGATAATGGTATTTGAATCTCGATTTGAATTGCTTGATAGACATTACATTTAAACGATTGGAGTATTGAGAACAGAAGTCTCTTCGTCGTGTATTTTCGCCTCAGTTTTTGTTAGATAAAGGTCCGTCAGATTGTCATCGTCGTTGCTTACACAATCAAAATTCAAATATATTTTCACACGATTTTTTTATCGTCTCCTACTTTAGTTATTTTCAAAAGCGCCCCGGGATATTATTGGCAGGTATGACGCTGCCGCCCTTACTAAAGTGGCGCCCCGGGCGGACTCCCCTCCCTTTAGACCATATAGTACATGGACTGCTAATTGTAACTAAAATATGGTCAAGGACGATTATGTGAGTTTCAGGGTAAACGAGTTTGTCCGATTATACACGATTTAAGATTGTCAATCTAAAAATTAACAAACGTCAATTAATTAATCGTCTAGATATGCCAAAAAAAGCAAACCTATTCTTATTTGTGGACGTATAGAAGATAATCAAGAGTATTTAAAGCTTCCCGTACTACGCGGTTCCGAGTAGTGTTCATACGACTTTAGTTTACCCTGAGATTCACTGATTCACACAACCACGACTACAGTGCCCTCTATCCGTGCCACCCATTTTGCATTGAAGGTATAGGGTAATATAGCAATCCATGTGGCCTAAGGGCGTAGAACAAAACGATATTAATACCCACTCGATTTTCACTGGTCCGCTAAAAATGAAACGAAACAGTTTAGACTCTGTTTATTTATTGAGAAAATGTGTGTTTTTTCGTCGCTCTACCGCCCTATTTTTTTACATATAAGTATGGATAAAAATAACACCCTAACAACTGAGTTTTAATATCATTACGGAAATGTATGGTTTGTCAGGTACTCTGCATAATGACATTCATGCTAGGGTTAAACTAATGATATTATATGCATACTCGTAAGGTCGTACATATTGCGATTGTATTTATAGTCTCCGCCAGTGATAATAATGACACATTAAACAATGACCTTCATTTTATCAAGTTGACCGATTAAATGCTATAATTATACTTTAGGTGAGATAACAGATTCAATCTCAATTTAAATACTTAAATATTAATTTACAACTACCTTAGGCACTGATACCTTTTTTAGTCACGTACACTGTACGAGGGCAGTAGGAAATTGAACAATAAAGGTAACATAGTTACACTTACAGTATCTGCCAGAAATCAATGTGGAAAATTAATGTGTTAATTAAATTATGAGCAGGTCATGATTCCAGGTTTCATCGTTGATTGTATATTTTTCAATCAACGGTTTCATATCAAAATTGGATTTAACGTGACACCTGATACCTTCGACAAACCATGCGCATTACCCAAAACATTACTTTCTTTCTCACAATATTTCGAACTCGTACAAACATACGCGAAGAAATTGTTTGTAAAATCAATTTCGAACGTCATATCAGACAATTTCAATAATCAAGAGTAGGTATACCAATCAAGCCTTTCCAAACCGTATAGGCTTATACATGTGGCATATAGCGTTTGACAGTTATCGTATTCACGGACAGACGGACGATCTGATGAAGAATCGTCATGCATTGTCCAAGAGCCTCTCAGTCTCAGGAACCCTTGAAGAATCTTTGTGAACAGTCTACCAAGCATTTCTGAAAAATATAAAGAAAGAGAAGAATTATTAGGGAATCCATCCATATCTGTTAAAAGGCTAACCGTCGTCGTCGGCGTTCGTCAAATCGTAGGGGGTTAAAAATTAATTTTATCTCTCATTGTATAATAAGTAAAGGTCTCAACGAAGGGAACGGTTTTCTACCAACTACTGTCCTTCTTCTGTCCTCTTATCAAAGTACGGGGAGGGGGGGGGGGGGGGGGGAGTGGTAATCTAATGAAAGGTCTAAACGAAAGGAATTAATTTCTACCAACCATAGCCCTCCTCCTCGACCTCTTATCGTCATCGAGTATATTCCCTTATGCCTCAAGAACGGATGGTCGGAAGAGGGTACTCATAAAGGGCGATTGAGAGGTCTGCAAGAAATATATCTATTGCTGATGTCAAAACAAAAGCTATTTCGCTTTAAAAAATGCGCTTTATCTGCACAACAGTTGTGCACAATTTATACTTGTTTTCGAGCTTGTTTTGTAATGTTTCGCGGTGGTCGGGAATTTTTGGTACACTCCACTCCTCCCCAATTAGTATTTCACCCTTTCGCTATTCCAAATTAATAAATGTGGAACTTGTCCAACGAGAGCAGCACCATGTATATCTGGTACTGTATGACACGCATTGGTCGCTGCTAATCATGTTTATTATTTTTACATAATCTTAAACGGCGTTGAATTGCATTGAGCATGTGCCCAGTTTATGACCAACAATATTAGTTTTTTTTTAAATAATTTAGATAACAGATTGCTTTTCGTAATAAAAAGATTCACAGATTTCGCAATCCATGCAACCATCGGAGGCATTGGAAATGATAACCGTATAACATGACCATATCGAAAACACAAATAACCCTTATTCACCGGGAACGTAAACTTTCTGAATAAATAATAAGCGTCCTAATATGCTTGATTACTATCACCATTGATTAACATACGTTATATGTTAATCAATGCTATCACGAGAGATGTGCGAGAATTTTAGACCGGAATTAACAAAACAATTGGGCACTATTAAATAAGTACCGCATCGACAGTATCAGCGACTTTCCCTACTGCCGATTGCGGTCGAGTACAGTACAATCATCACTTGATGCGACACCGTGTCTTTTCTGCTTGAACGAAAACTGGTAACTTCCTACCCATACCCTTCATACACATAAGCATTTCCAATGCTAAAATGAAGCTTATGAAATTTATTACGAATTCCTTTGGAAAACAGAAGCTAATGGTGGTGAAATGTAAATGGTAATGAATTATTACCTGGTTCAGATATAGGTGACGCCAAAGACGAGAAGGATGACGCAATGGAGTAGGTACTCGATACCGTCGACGTAGAACATTCCGATACGGAACGTCGTTTCGACAGCGAGTGGTGTGCAGATAATTGTTCCAAACGCCGTCGGAGATATCTGCGTTCCCGATTTAAATGCTCTTTATGTACAGAATGTTTTCTCTCTTTGTCCTCTAGATTCTGGAAAAAAGATCGAATTAAAGTGATTTACTTCACGTGCAAATTTCAACGCGATTACCATAATTAGAGTCGTAAATGGCGCGTAACGAAACAATACTAACCTATGAGATCCATGATATAATTTGCATTATGTAAGTTTAATTAATGGGTAGTGTTGCTAAGTTAAAGTATAATACGACAGAAAATCTAATTCATTTACCTAGTGCCAACTGTCAAAACAATGAATACACACATAAAATGAGAAAACATACTATGGGCACACCTTGGTACTTTTAATGGCGTTGAGGGTTTCCTTGCAGAAGTCACAGTCATTTTTTTTAAATGACCGATGCCTATTGTAGGTAATTAAAATATTAGCTTTCATTGACATTTAACAACTACATGTTCGAAATTAGGGCTAACTGACAAGATATAGTGCCAATTAGTGCCAAATGACAAAGGCTAATCGAAATAGTGCATATACTATTTATTTATTTTTATCTTTTGGACAATAAAGATTATTATTATTATTATCGTCGTTTTTTTACTCACTCATGGTGGTATGCTTCACATGAGACGGGTCCTAACCAAGTCATCATGTGGTAATGTGTGGCGTTTAGTGTCATTGGTTGAGAGTTATTATTATGGTCGGCGTTTCTTGTGAGAACTCAGGTCTAGCCTGGTTAACTAATCGCACGGATTAAAATCAAGTAACGATTAGTGTCTGTGTCTGTGTCTGGTGAAGTTATGTAGGGTCCCCTTAATAATAATAATAAAAAAAAAAAAATCACACACGTACATTGGACATCTAGGGGTAATGTAATTCGTACTTACCAACACACCTATTGATGGGCACAATAGCCAACGCTATCAGGAAAGAGGAAAACAAAACAAAACAAAAAAAATCATTATAATAATTCCTGTAATTTTATTAAATAGAGCCTGTCCGTTTCCATCTTCGTGATCTCCAGATACGTACCGAAAATGAAGCGATTCATCCCTTCGTCCCATTTCATACGTCTTTTGGAGGTTTCCTTTGCGCTGGTCCCATCCACAAGCGGTTGAGAAGCAGGCACAAAGGTCTCTTCTTGGCGGTCCTCTTCAGGTGTTATTATTATTATCGTTTTTTACTCACTCATGGTGGTATGCTACTCCGGTACCTTACGAATTAGGAAAACTGCAGGAGCAGCAGAATCACTTTACTTGGACAAACTGGTGGCCGCATGCACGTTTTACTTTCAAAAGCAGGACCTCGGGATAGTTCGTTTGGCACACCTTTAAATAGGGTACCTATTGCAAAAAATTTCAGGGCTCTAGGACAAGTATAGCAGATTAAAATAAAAAGCTAATGAAAAACCCAATCACGGCGAGTTCACTGGCGCAGGTAACTAGTCACAAATGTAAGCCTTGTCAATTGCTACGTAAAATTGAAGTAAGCGTATTAGATTTTAGTTCCTTTTAAGAGACTTCAGAATTCAGATGTATCCATCCGTATGTTATAGGTCTTTATGAACAAATTTAAGAGCAAAAATAACACACTTTCTGGTATTGAGAATGCAAAATTTACGTTTTAGAGTAATTTATTAATAGTACAGTGCAATTAGACCCAAACTTCAACATCCAAAGTAAAAGTTTCCCTCCAACTGCAAATTGTTCTATACTGTCCACAGATTGTTTGGTAGAAAGTTACACCATTTTAAGCGTCGGGTTTGGTTGGGAGGTGGAGTACAGTTGGAAAATTAATAATTTTGAATAGTTGTTCTTAAATATTTAGCAAACTGTGTGGTTTAGCGCGAAAAGTGCCGTATACAAAAATAATCTACAGTAAATTGCGAACAAAAATGGCCTCGTATATAATCTCGGTAAATTGAACCGTTCCAGAGTTACGGAGGGTGTAACAGTAGAAATTTTTCATCTTTTTTTTTAGATTCTTTTTGAAAAAATATGAGATTATCACTAAGGAAACTAATTTTTTGTTAAAACAAATTGCGCTTTAGTGACCGGTAGTATGTTACTGATAAGTCCTTGAAGGAACGCTAACCTTACCACCTTCTCAAGGGGGGCCATTTTTTAAAGAGACTTCCACTATGAGGACAGTAATTCTTTGGGAGTTGCAGGATGTGTTGATATTGCTCTCAGGTGTGCAACAATCTTCCATCCCCAGCCCCACTTCAGCGGGTTCTTCTTCTCATGCAGCCACTGCTACACCTTCTGCCTGGTAGCTGCTGAAGTGGGGAGAAGCGCAGCCAACTTGAACAGTGAATGTATAGGATGCTTTGAAATAGCCTGCAAGTAACACTGGTAACGAAAACAAGCCAGATCTTCAGTGTTATTTACTTCAAACATAATTTCATTTTTCCAGAAAATCGAAAATACATATACGAAAAATGTCTACTTTTGCACCCTCCGTAACTCTGGAATCGTTCACTTGAGCAAGATTATACAGAAGACCATTTTTGTTCGCAATTTAATGTAGATTATTTTTGGATATCGTATTTTTCTCGCCAAACCCCACAGTTTTCTAAATATTTAAGAAAAACTCCAAAAATTACTAATTTACCAACTTTCCTCCCCCCTCCCATTCAAACCCGACGCTTAAAATGGTGTAACTTTTTACCAAACAATATGTGGACTGTATAGAACAATTTGCAGTTGGAAGGAAACTTTTACTTTGGATGTTGAGGTTAAGCCGTTTTTTCGACTAATTGCACCGTACTATAATAGTGAACTGTTGATTTTGTAAAAATTAAATGGTTTCCTAATTAACCTCTATGAATCTAATAATGCAGTTTGCCAGTTTTAAATAACTCGCCTAACTGAATATGATCAAAGTTACTACTCGTGAGTAAAACCAATATAAATAATTTCCATAAAATGTGAGGTTCATTTTTATGATATGATAATTTGTAGTGACATTTGTAGGGTATTACAACCCTTACTAAATTTAGTTTTTCAACGAATAACCCATTTTTAGCGTATTTCCATAAAAATTTAAAAAAATGCGCTATTGTGGCCACTTTGTCCGTCCGTCCGCCTGTCCGTCCGTCCATTCGTTCGTTGAGACGCTACTAGTTCTTTATCAAAAGAGCTATTGTTCTACTTTTTTCGCTATTTGGTTCGTTATGGTGTCGAGGCTTGCACCAAGGAATTTTTTCTACGTTTATTACTAAAAAAGTTATTGTAAAAAAACAAAAAACCGTTTTTTACATGTTCTATAAATTTTACACTTTTATCGTCTGTCTGTTGGTCTGTCCGTCTGTTCCTTTGTCTGTCTGTCCCTCTATCTGTCCGTGTGAACGATAATTTTGTTTAGAAATGTCCGATCGCTTTTAGATCTCCGTTAGTTATGAACTGAATTGCATGAAATTGAATATGGGCATAGCTTTAGCCATATAAATACGCTAGGCCAAAGGCCAAAAGTTGAGTCGAATCGATTCCAAATTTACAGTGCCCTTTTCGCATCTCGACCATTTATAAACCGAATTGCAAACTTTTTTATTTATAAAAGTATTTGAATTAAATTTGATACATAGGCACTTGGAATAAATGAAAATCTAACGCCAGTTTCAAAATTTGGTTTTGCGCAAGCGCAGTGCCAAGTTTTTTATTTATGGAAAAATTTAAACGAAATTTGATACATAGGCGCTTGGAATAAAGGAAAATCAAACGCCAGGTCCAAAATTTGGTTTTGCGCATGCGCAGTGCCAACTTTTTTTATTTATGGAAGCATTTAAATGAAATTTGATACATAGGTGCTTGGAATAAAGGAAAATCTAACGTTAGTTTCAAAATTTAGATTTGCGCATGCGCAGTTCCAACTTTCTTATTTATGAAAGCATTGAACTGAAATTCTTCTTATAAACAAAAATTGAAGTAGCACGTCAACAATGGATTGCACATGTGCAACGCAATCTTTCATATTTGTGGCCGGATTTTTACGATTTTAACAGAAGTTGCATCTTACAAATGGGAAATGAATGCAAGGGGAAATGCGCTTTCTGTAAATCGTTTACGATTACTTTTTAACTTGTTAAATATTGCGATCCCGTATTTGACTGTTGAATACGAGCCACCATTTGGACCAAAGTTTCTTCGTGTTCTTTTCTATGTGTATTAAAGAAACTGAATTGCCCCAAAACGAATTGATAGAATTCAGAAAGTATTATAATGATTACCTACTTAACCGATCTTCTGTATTTTCCGGAGCATAACACGAATAGGTGCTATAAGATCAGTTTATGGCGACAGTTAGCATCTGCGTTAACTTCATTCTGATCCACATTATGCGATATCTTGCACGCAATTTTATCGCATGCAATAACTAGCGCACAATCTTCTCAGTTCTCAGTCACACACCACATGGTCAATGCTCAAGTATTAAGGATATTAAGGGAAAATGCTCTTTTCATTTTAAATACTTTTGAGGATTAAGTAAAACAAGTTAAAAAATCATTATGCAAACATAAATGACGAGAGCGTATTTTCCCCCTATCCTAATAATATTAATGATAGGATCGGAATAAAATACCGGTAGGCACGAGATCCTTACCCCATTCTCTTTCAAATGAGCCGCCTATCGTCGAAGTCTATATTTAATGAAAAATAGTGGAGCGTATACAGATACATATGTACAAATTTTGAAATGGGCATTAGTTTAACTTTTATTCTAAGTGTCTGCATATGAAACTTTTTTTTAATGCTTTCGTAAATAGCATTGCGCCTACATTAGAAATTTCATTGAATACCTTCATAAATAAAACATACAGCATGCGTTAACCGTAATTTTTAAACCGGTATTAGATTTAGTTTGAGCCCTATATCGCCCAAATCGGTTCAGTGGTGTAGAAGGAGTACGTGTGACAGACGGACGGACGAACGGATGGACGACAAAGTGCAGCCATTAGCGATTTTTCACTTTGAAGAAAATACGCTAAAAAAGTAATAGTTCATAAATGAAATGGATAAAATTAAATCGAGGATAAATAAAAATTATCTGGCCATGACCACCTCCAATAAGTAATGTAAATATGTATAACGATATCTCATGCTATAAGTAAAGCCCCGGGTGGTTTTGTTGAAACTACAAACAATACTCACTATCAAATGAAAATAATTTGTATGCACTCAGGGGCAAATAGCATAATATATACATTGACCAATCAAGTATCTATACATACTGAAGATTTGCTATGAATGTATTTTGTGACACTGGAAGACTGGAAAAATTATGAAGCGGAGAATGATATCCACGGTGTGATTACAACACCTAACATTCCCCATACTTGCTGCAAGTCAAGTATGGGGAGGTTAGATGTTAGAAAATTCCTCTTTTTATTTATAATTATCAATATGTGTGTCGCCATAACTGCAGAGAAGACAGGAACGCTGCTATTCATTACCATAGTCCACGCAGATACTCTATCATGTTTTCCCCCTCACAATGTTCACCTTATTTAAAATCCTGCGATTGGCATTACGATATTTCCATCGCTTAACCACATCCAGACACGTACGAAAAACTCATAGGTAAGTACCTACTCTGCATTCATCGATTTTTGTATATTGAAGTATATTATATCATAATATAACATGATTATATGGATGGAATCTTCTTGCTCACTCTGTTGCTATTTCATCAACTATTCGTAATACTTTGTAAGAGAGGGGAACAGTAGGTACAGGCTTGTTTTTCTTATTCTTTTTAGCGTATTTTCCTCCTTCTATACGGCTGAACCGATTTCGGCGATATGGGGCTCATTTGAAAGGTCTTGGTCCAAGGATTCCGTACATACCGATGTGTTTTGGTTTTGCGCATGCGCAGTGTCAAAAATTTGGTTTAACGCGTGTGCAATGCGAACTTTTTTATTTATGAAGTAATTAAATGTAGCTTTATAATTTATATGTATTATATTCACTACGAATATAAGTAAAATTGACGATGACAAAATATTGTGTTGCGCATGCGCAATGCCAATTTTCTTATTTAAGAAAGCATTTAAATGCAATTTAATACATAGGCACTTGGAATAAAATCAAATCTAACATCAGTTTCAAAATTTGGTTTTTTTTGCGTAAGCGCAATGTCAACTTTCTTATTTAAGAAAGTAACTATAGAGCATTCGCACCTTAGTATGCAGTATGGGGTCTTATGGACTATATCCCTCCTTTACTAATTTGCGTCATTCTTCAATAACGCTATCCTTATTCCTTACCGCAATGATGCCAAACTTACATATGATTGAATTTAAGCTTTAAAACAAAATATAACGTCAAATCTTCTTGTATTGTCATTACGTGTGTGGTTCGTTTTTGTCTTTCGTATTTAACACATTTTATTGTCTCATTGCTTTAAAAATCGTTCTTTTAAGAACGCCTCCATCTCGTACTTTATATACAAGGTAACTTTGAGTGTTCTTGTAGAACCGTTATTTGATTTCATCTTTTTAGAATATCCCATTAAATGGAAGCCGAAGCTGAAGCAGGATCTGCTAACGTGAAACGCCATAAAGGAGAGTGTTTTAGCCGGAAGGAGAAACACCTCATTATCAACGTGCTGAACTATTTCTCGGGAACGATGAACGTTACTGCAGCTGTGAAAGAAGCAAGTAAAGCTTTATGTTGTTCTGAACGGAGCATCTATGCCATTAAAAAGGAAGACGGAAACGAAGGTGTATCAAGCCCGAAAAAACGCAAGCAAAGAAAAGGGAAACAAAGCAATGATCGTCTTCATGTGTATGATGAAAATGTGCAATCAGTTATTCGACGTAAAGTGCATAACTTCTTCATTACAAATATTCCACCAACTATGAACAGCATCTTAGCTTCCGTAAATGACGATAACGATCTACCCAACTTTAAACGCACCACATTATTCAATCTCTTGAAAGATATGGGTTTTGAATTTAAGAAGGTTGGCCGCAAGAGTATCCTTATTGAACGGGATGATATTATACGATGGAGACATAAATACCTACGTCGCATCAGGAAGTTGAGAGAAGAAGGTGCTTAATCTTTTTATTATATTTAATTGCAAATTACATAATATTTATATTTTAGGTAAAAATATTGTGTATACGGATGAGTCATGGGTTAACATTGGTCATTCGGTGAGCAGGGCGTGGCATGACACCACCGTTGAAAGCAATCGTCAGGCATTCATCAAAGGACTCAGTACAGGTTTAAAATCACCCACTGGTCTAGGGCCTCGCTTTGCGTTAGTACATGCTGGTGGTGATAATGGTTTTATTCCGGGCGCGGAACTGACTTTTCTCTGCAAAAAGAACACTGCTGATGCACACAACGAAATGGATGCAGACACTTATGAAAAGTGGTTTTTTGAACAGCTTCTACCAAATGTGCCACCGAATTCAGTCATTGTTATTGACAATGCCTCGTACCACAGTAGAAAGTTGGAGAAGATACCAACAATGTCGTGGAGAAAAGAACACATTATAGATTGGCTTCGTGAGAAAAATGTACCGATTGAAGAAAATCCATTAAAACGAGACCTACTGGCTTCTGTTGCGCATGTTCGGCATCACTACGACAAAAATAAGCTTGATGTTATTGCACAAGAAAAAGGTTACGAGATTCTCCGTTTACCTCCATACCATTGTGAATTAAATCCCATTGAAATGGTGTGGGCTCAAGTTAAACATCATATCAAAATGAATAACAAAACATTTAAAATAAAGGACATGGAAGAATTAATAAAAATGGGTTATTCACAAGTTACGGTTCAAAATTGGCAACATTATGTCAATCACGTGAAAACTATCGAAGATGGCATGTGGGCAGCAGATTATCTTCAAGATGATGTTGAAGAATTTATAATTCAAGTGTCGCAGTCATCTTCCGATGAATTTCAATTCGATTCCAGTGACTAATATGTATACTGTACATTTGTAAATTTTTGGGGACTTAATAAATACAAGCTGTTCTCGGCCACATTTGACAAACATTCAAACAATTACAACTTGTTATTAATTTACCTTTTTGACTTCTGAGGTTAGGTTAAAAAGTAATAAATAGTGTCTAAACTACCGTTTTACGGTGCAGTAATCGATCCTATAATAAGTTTGGCAAGCATGTACTGTTTCTCCATAAGCCCCATACTGCATACTAAGGTGCGAATGGTCTATAAATGAAATTTTTAGGCTATCATCACAAAAACGTTGATTTTGTTGTCGCTTTTGCGGCCATAAAGTTTAACTTTATTGTACGCTTCTGTCAAACTTTACTTTATTGTACACATCTGTCAAACTGTACCTACTTATTTGAAACTGATGTGTGAGAAGCAGTAATCCGTTTGATACAAAGCCTCTATCTGGTTTAGCCCCATCAAGGATTGGGTCATCCACGTGCGTTTTTTTCATTTTCGGACTTGTAGGAATGTTTCACACTATTTTGCATAATCACAATGTTCACATTTAAAATTATAGTTTGACGTTTCAATCTTTGCTGCTTGCAGACCTTTTTGAAGTGTAGAAACAAAACATGAGGAAGATGTTATTGCTTACATTATTATACGAAGAATCACCAGCAATTAACCGAGAACACAAGTAGCTGCCTATTATACCTACCATCAAAGTAGGTAATCAGGTTTCTAATAATTGTACAGCATGTTAACTATAAGGTCTTGGAAGCCACAGTTACGAAGGACCTATTGCATTATTAAAATTTTGTACAACGGAGGAAGTTGCGATTGTACTTTTACTCTCAAACGCCTGCTGTTATATCATATATGACTTAGGGTCGCAACGCTTGCAGCTTCCAAAATTTCATTTGGGGTATCTGAACTGTCGCTATCACCCATTTTGATACGCACAAAACACACGCAAAGATGCTAATTATAATTTATTACATATGACAGGAAATGCTTTGTTTTTAATTGTCTAAGATAACTATGATTTTCAGAAAAAATATGTTTATGAGCAAATTTTTGAATTCTTTTTTGATGATCGCCTAAAAAATGTTGTGTGCACCTTGGCCAAAAGTGATTTGTTAGGCCTCATCTGAATTGCGGCCTCGGCTACCGCCTCGGCCACAAACAGCAGCTTCGGCCAAAAAAGATCACTTTTACGGCCTTGGTACACAAATAACTATTAATACCTATGTAGGCAAGGGGTCTAGGACCCTTCGCCGAATGCCCACAACACCGACACGATTTTTTGATGGTCCATATCGCCGACTAGGGACACACGGTCGGTGTGACCGTGCCCACATCGTCGACAGGTGTGCAAGGGACACAATGCCGACCATGCCCACACCGCCGAAACGTGTCATACTCTGTCCAGGTTCATTAAGAACGTTCGTATGAGTTTGTAGTTCGAAAAAAGTTAAAAAAAATATTCTAAACCTACAATAACCTACCGTCAAAATCTGCTTGGTGTTGCCACCGTCCAGCTTCATTAAGAACTGTTGTATGAGTCGACGTTATGGTCACGTTCGGCTTAGTGTCTCTTGTACACTTGTCGGCGATGTGAGCGCGGTCGGCGTAGTGTCCCTAGTCGCCGATATGGACCATCAAAAAATGGTGTCGGCGCGAAGCGCCCTGGTCCCCTTGGAATAAAAATAAAACTAACAACCGTTTCCGAATTTGATTTTTCGCATGCGCAATGCCAACCTTCTTAAATTTCATATGTAGACACTTCGAGTAAAAGTAATGCCCATTTCAAAATTTGTTTATATTATATACGCTCCACTATTTTTCAATAAACTGTATACATTTCGACGATATGCGACTCATTTGAAAGAGAATGAGGTAAGCATCTTGTGCCTACAGGTATTTTTTCCCGGTCCCAGCATTAATATTATTAGGCATCAAAGCTAGCGAAAATTATACAATAATCCGCTCGATTAGAAAATTCTGGTCAAATTTCAGCCCTGATGTAATCGGCGTAGATTTCCAGAACACAAAACGCTATAAAAGATGAATTTCTTGGCTTAATGATTTACGGACAGAGAAGGGAGGTTACATATGGGGGCGTGCAACACCCAACGATTATTAAAATTTTGATTGTTCACGTAAAACTGTCAAACTGCCCATAAACGAATTCCCGACTGATTTTGACACCTTTCACTCAGTAATATTTGGACTTGTTACTTAGATCATATAGTATATGAACTGCTAATTGTAACTAAAATATGGTCAAGGACATCGCCTGGGTATGTGAGTTTCAGAGTAAACGAGCCTGGCCGAAATTGTCCGATGAGACACGATTTGATATTGTCAACCTATAAAATAACAAATGTCAATTAATTAATCGCCTAGATATCGCAAAAAAAGCAAACCTGTTCTTATTTGTGGACGTATAGAAGATAATCAAGAGTATTTTTTGCGCGATCGGTCATTTCTGACTATTTACCATGGGTGTTTCCATGACAGTACGTAGAATTTACCAGTTGCTATGATTACGACGACGCCAAAATTACTTACCGATCTAAAAACAGAACAGCAAAAATACTTACCGACGCCTTTTTAAAAATCAACAGTCTTACATTACATTTAATCTTTAATTATTGTTAGGTACATTAAACGTACAATTTGTGCTGTTGTTTCCTATAACAAGACGCTCATAAAGTCATAAAGGAAGTGCAAAGCTAGTAAACTACATCAGACACATGCACATTTTTATGAAATTATTAATTTCAATTTTGACATTTAAACTGGTTACCTAGTGATGTACCCCATACCACTTCGATCATTTCGATTTATTCTGCTCGTTAATTTCTTAGTGCATATTTATATTGGTTGCATAATTTTAATTTCGATCGCGCAAAAAATGTTATAAGCACGTCGAACGTTAAGGGTACCGTTCTCAGACAATAATTGGAGTCGTCGCTTCGCTCCTCCTCCAAACAATTGTCTTCGAACGGTAAAAATCCCTTACCGTTCTCCATACTTAATATACTATAAAGCTTCCCGTACTACGCGGTTACCATAAAAGCTACTCTTTACGCGATCCGAGTGGTGTTTATACGACTTTAGTTTACCCTGAGATTCACATACCCACGACTACAGTGCCCTCTATCCGTGACCACCCATTTTGTATTGAAAGCATAGGGCCACAGATCTACACATACACAGATTGCTAACCCTATGCATTTTTTGGGAAACAAATTTAGGTATAAAGTCACTAGATATAGAAAGTACCGCAATCATCCGCCATTTTTGGGCAAATTTGCTGCCAACTTAAAAAAATTGACAAATAAAATCTGAATAGCTGTAATTTTTTATAACCTAACTTCATAGTACTGTCATGTTTTATAAAAATATATACAGATATCTCCAAACAGGTGGAACAATCCCTAACATTAAAGTTACTAGAATCTGGTAACTTCCGCCATTTTTGGGCAAAAATCATGCGTTCTCTCTCTAACACACGAGCCCAATGGATTGCGGTACTTTCTATATTTAGTGACTTTATTTAGGTATACTTAAAAGCGCCCTCTATTGCGGAGCAGTATAAACATGTATCGTTTAAAACTGTAATATGACGCTTATGGATTTATGCGTTAGATGTCGCTGAAACAAAGTTAAAGCGTTAAAGTTTGCACAATTCGAATTCCTTAATATTCGTATTATTACAGTGATATGATATGATAGGAGGTACGCTGAGCCATAATTGTTTAATTTAACACTGGAGCTACTCATTCGTCGTAAAGGAGTTATTAAAAGCGGGTACCTGTGGTCACAGATACACACGAACATAGGGCACCTTCTTAAAGAATCGTGAAGGTTTTTTGAAGTGGGCGGAAATTATTTGCAGCTTTAAAGGTCTTGACAGATTGCTAACCGCAAAGGTATACTTAAAAACTATGTATATCTCTGCCATAATTAACGTTACACTCTTTACCACGTCGATAAGATATAAGATAGGGAGGTTATTTTCGAAAAGTTGATAGTTTTCCAGTTGTAAGCACAAAACTGCTAAAAAAATATCCTTTTCAACTTTTTTGTATTTTTTTCAATGTTGCGTCATGAAATTTTGTTAGCAAACTTCGGATTCGGATTCGGCACCCCAAAAAACATATAGAATCACAGAAATCAAAACTACCCCACAACTTTCCTGGTAAAAATACAATTAAACTGGATTATATGCACATTTTACCGCTTTAAATTTTTTGCAGCGACATCTAATGCATAAATCCATAAGCGTCATATTACAGTTTTAAACGGTACATGTTTCTACTGCTCCGCAATAGAGGGCGCTTTTAAGTATACCTAAATTTGTTTCCCAAAAAATGCATAAGGTTAGCAATCTGTGTATGTGTAGATCTGTGATAGGGCTAATAGCAGTCCATGTACTATATGGTCTAAGACTTGTTACCTTGTTTTCCTGAAAACTCAAAAATAAAAATATCACTGCTTCTCTTCAGACAACTTGATGTTAAATAAATATACTGAATACTAATGAAAAACATTAAACATTAACATTAAAATTTTGATCTGTATAAAATTTCCACTTCCCTCTACTGAAACACTCCAATTCTGAAAATTCTATACGAAAACTTGCCCAAGTTAAAGCAATAATTAATATTCTTGAATAGTAGAGTTTTGTGATAGCCCAATTCGTTCCTCCGTCAAGCTTTTAAAGGTAAAAAGCATATAATGATGTTTTTCTGTAGTGTTTGGCCTACTAATTAACCCCCTAAATTCGTCTGTTGATACCGATGTCCAAACGGCCCAAAAAAGGAAAAAATGGAATTTTTCAAAAAGTTCTTATTTTTAATTACAACGGTGCGTTTTTTTGTCGTTAGCTCTAATGGTAATGAAAATATAAAGTATTTTTCTCCGCGCATTTTACATTGCATATACCTACGGCAAGAACGCACACATAATCGTTAGCCATTCGCTTAAACAGTGTTTTGGCACAATAAATAGTCAATTTTTTCTACAAATATTCGTTTTTCAACGCCCGCAAATTGCTCTTGAGTACGAAGCTCTAGAAGATATTTTAAAAAAAAAAGTTTAAATAAAAATTATAGCTGGCAGCTTAACGAATCCAACGAGGGGTATAGTTTGAAAATATCTTTATAATTAAAGGCACAAGGAGGAAAAATGTATGACGTTGCACGGAGTAGCGGTGGTCGCTTTTCAACCGATTCGATGAGTCCCCTCCTTCACGCAATGTTTTTATTCACTTCAACTCTCGTTAAGTAGACATCTTCTTGTTCATCTCGAACTGAATCTTCTCAAATTGATTTATTTTGATTTTTCTCAAGAAGTAATAAATTTAATAACAGAAGTCTTCATCGCTGTGCTATGCTCATCTTTTTGTGTGTCATGTGAAGTGTATTTATTAACAGACACTTTTCCACTACAATCATACAATTGAGCAAGCATGCAGCCACTTAATTTTTTTGCCAGGAACACCTTCCCGTTTTACATCAAAAAGTAATTATGTTATTGCTTTGTAGACATTTTTGGATTTGCAAATGGAAAATATAATACCTACCTACAAACAACCTGTTTTAGACGAACTAAAACAAACGGAAATTATATTTTATACAAGTCCGGGTATCTGGTTGTCCGAAGGGGTTTAATTATACCCCATTATTGCCCAGTTTGGACCACAATTTTGCTGGCAACTCATTTATATTGTAACAACGGGAAATCGAAATAGACTGCGACTACACATAGGTACAAAATCCTACAATTGTTTTTAAATAATAAAAATTAAGAATAAGAATATTATAACAAGGATATTAATTAAAGATATAATATTTCCTCTAGACTACACTGTCGAGGAATGGAACCACCATTACCTCGTTAAATCGCTAAGGATATTCTCTGTATCAATTAGGTTCTTGCTTTGGGATCACCTGAAACTGAAACGTACAATATTTTTGCATCCTTTGAAATACGGGTTCAGTAAAATTCATATGCTCTACATCAATGTGTGCGATGTTTGCAGTCAGTTCAACCGAATTGGAAAAGCATCTGCATGGAAAGTGTTTCAAAAAAACTAACCACGATTTACTTTATGTAGAGCAGGGATGGCCAATTTCAAGTGGCTCTTAAGAAAAATTCAACTTGGGGGGTCGCATTATAACATCTTTGTATGCAACACATCAGTGATATTGTGCATATTTTTTATTGGAAGGAAATGCATACATTTTAGTGCTTGTTTTACGGGTCGCAAAAAACTAGGTATCATCCGACCCGCGGCCCTCATGTCTGACAGCCTTGAGCCATGTAAGAGCATATGCATTTTACTGAACCCCTATTTCAAAGGATGCACAAATATTGTATGATTTTGTACCTATTCGAAGTCCGATTTCCCGTTGTTACAATATAAATGTGTTGGGAGCATTAAAATTGTCGTCTAAACTGGGCAATGATATAAATTTCCACCTGAGGCCTTAAAACAGCACAGCTTAAGAGCATTTTATCAACATTTTATATGGAAAAGCAGTTTGACTCCCATCTTAAATACCTCTAATTGTGAAGAATATGGGTGGAACTTAAATGTGAGGGGTATAATTAAACCCCTTCGGACAACCAGATACCCGGACTTGTATAAAATATAATTTCCATTTGTTTTAGTTCGTCTAAAACAGGTTGTTTGTAGGTATTATATTTTTCAGTTGCAAATCCAAAAATGTCTACAAAGCAATAACAATAATTACTTTTTGGATGTAAAACGTGACGGTGTTCCTGGCAAAAAATTAAGTGGCTGCATGCTTGCTCAATTGTATGATTGTAGTGGAAAAGTGTCTGTTAATAAATACACTTCACATGACACACAAAAAGATGAGCATAGCACAGCGATGAAGACTTCTATAAGTTATTAAATTTATTACTTATTGAGAAAAATCAAAATAAATCAATTTGAGAAGATTCATTTCGAGATGAACAAGAAGATGTCTACTTAACGCGAGTTGAAGTGAATAAAAACATTGCGTGAAGGAGGGGACTCATCGAATCGGTTGAAAAGCGACCACCGCTACTCCATGCAACGTCATACATTTTTCCTCCTTGTGCCTTTAATTATAAATATATTTTCAAACTATACCCCTCGTTGGATTCGTTAAGCTGCCAGCTATAATTTTTATTTAATTTATTTTTAAAATTCTGATTCGTCTAAGAGCAATGGCGTTATAAACAATATTTTAAAAAGTTACATTTTGCAAAACACTGAGGTTTAAGCGAATGGCTAACAATTATGTGTGCGTTCTTGCCGTATATGCAATGTAAAATGCGCGGAGAAAAATACTTATATTTTCATTACCATTAGAGCTAACGACAAAAAAACGCACCGTTGTAAAGATAATTAAAAATAAGAACTTTTTGAAAAATTCCATTTTTTCCTTTTTTGGGCCGTTTGGACATCGGTATCACCAGACGAATTTAGGGGGTTAATTAGTAGGCCAAACTCTACATAAAAACATCATTAGATGCTTTTTACCTTTAAAAGCTTGACGGAGTGGATTTCTAAATCACTTTTGAGCGCGCAGGAACTCTACTATAAATCGATTAGCGGTTTCAATCTTATGGCGTACGATTCTGCCTTTCATTGAATTTCATTAATTGTTTTGGCCCGCACTAAATACCGAAGTTACAAAATTACTTAGCGGCATTCATCTCGAAATACAACTTTCGTCTAAGAGTTACCGTATCAAGGACCTTACATATTTTCTGGACTGGAGGAGATCCGGCTAATTAACCTTGTATTTATGTAGGTACTTGATGTAAGAGACTTTAGAATGTTTCACAATTTGCAAGTGGAAAAGATGTGGAGTTGCTTTTAAATCTGTTTGAGTTGACCACTCTTAAACTTGTCAAATTTTGGATTAGATTAATGTCATGTTAAAATTATTCAAATTCTAGTTCTAGGAAGAAAAAGAAATTTGTACGACAATTTAATTTGTAGCGTATTGCCATTTATAGCTAATCTATCACAATCCTATAGTATGTACGACCTTCGATAATATGTTTTTTGAGGTTAAGAAAACGAGTTTAATAAAAAATATATTTACTAAAAATATTATATACACTTAAATAATTGGCAATACATTTCTTGTAACGACACGCAACTGCAGAAATAACTTAGAAGGAAAAGGAGACAAACAGTGGAATAATAAATTAGTCTCTTATTTTAGCTTGAGGCGTTGATATTTTAACCATATATAAGCACTAAATAAACAACTACACGTTAACAGGGAGATTAGAAGAGCGGAACTAAGCACAAATCCTTGCGCTGACATGCAAATACCATCGTGGTTTGTTAGACTGATCGCAGTACTCGAATTGATGTCGTTAAGATCTTCGGGTAAAACGACTCTTAACAATTTACCAATTTTTAAAGAACTATCACTCGTATCATTTTGAGAGTACGTATCACGTTTTCGTCGACCCGGCTCAAGTTTCTGATTGGGATCTTGACACATCTCACAGTCTGTTTTGCAAAGATCAACGTTGCATTCTAAGGTAAGGTCCATGACGTCTGGAAACTTGAAGGCATTAAAGAATGCGTAAGCAATGATCGATGCGCCGGTGTCCTTCGTATTTCTGGTCTTTTGGAATGCACCGAACAGTTTTGGTTTCAACACGCAACCGTAATCGTCGGTTAGTGACACCACGTTCTTACCGCTGCTGTCTTTAGCCCTGCAGTCCTTAACCTGTATGTCGAATCCAGGATCGCCGGTTACCGAAACGACTAACGTCATGACCTCCCCGATTTTAACAAGACCATTAGCCGAAGGCGCAAATGGACCTCTACCTCGCTGAATATCCAAACGTGCCATTGCGGTATCGCCACTAAACGTCACGATTTCTTGATTCAACATGTCCACGCTCAGCGCCACGTTTAAGACCTTCTTCAGGTTTCCTTCCCAAAGACACCGTACTGAACGAACGGTATCCCACACCTCCTGAATGCCCGCTTCATTTTGTAGCACGAGTACATTTTCCAAGTACGACTTTCCTTGAGTATCAAAAGCGTTGACGAATTCCGTTCCGCACGAATTTAAGCTGACTGTGAACGTGTACTTGGTTTTTCCCGAATTTTCGTCAACGTATCTGCAACGCGGGTTGTTATAGTGATCCTTTGAGTAAATGATGCCATCGAACTGTCTGTTAAATTCTATATTTATCGTCATCATATCTTTCGAGCACTCAACGTCAATGGCGTGAATGTGGGGAGGATGTTTCAGGTCGTCGTCTTCATCGTCGCGTGCGGAAATTGCGGTGGTCTGTTCAGAATCGGTCGGGTAGTGGTCTGTGATTTCTTCGTCCTTTTCCGCACTAGGGATTGTATTTTCGTTATGTTTTGGAGCAGGCGTCGAGTAGTAGTAGCCGGTTGTCGGAGAGTCGGTTTCGGTTGGCGATTGAGTGGGATAGTTCGTGACTGGTCGCGATGTGATAAACGGTCGGGGACTAGAAGTAGGATAGTAAGATGTTCCATTTGAATAGGAGTGTGTAGTTGATGATACAGGAATGAAAGAGGGACGTCGAGTGGTAAATGGCTGGTTTGTTGTTGGATAATCTGTGGTGGGGTATCGATCGGTGCTTGGGTTCGGATAGCGATTTGTTGAAGGGGAGCCCGTGGGATAGCGGGTAGTACGATAGTCTGATGTTGAGCTAGGGTATTTTGGTGAGGGATATCCGGTGCTAGGAGAGGGGTAGTCGGTGTTTGGGGAGGGGTAATTACCGGTGCTGAAAGAAGGATAATCTGTGGTGGGATGTGAGTACGTGGTGGTGGGGTATCCCGTGGTGGGGCTTGGATAACCCGTGGTTTGACTAGGATATCCCGTGGTCGGATGGCGTGAGGAACTGTAGGATGGGTATCCGGTGGTAGCGGACGGATAATTGGTATTAGATGAGGGGTACGCGGTACTGGGTCCGTGAGGATATCCATTATTGTCTTCTGTAGAAAATGACGGCCTGGTTGGTACAGTGGCTGTATACCCATGTGTCGAAGACGAGAATGTAGGCTGCGGTTTGGAAGGATATTTAGTAAAATCAGGAACTGGTGGTTTCAAATCCGGATTATACGCTGGATAGCCATCCACAAATGGAGGTTGGGGTGTCACACTTCCTGCGGCTGGATAGCCTCCAAAAATTTCATTCTCTCCGGGAGTTGCAGTTTGAAAAGGCCTTGGTTTTTGCGTATTTACTGGAGGCAGGTACTCTCTTAATGATCCTTGTCTAACTGTAACACAAAAAAGTCATGTTTATGCCTTTACTTTGCGAATACGTATAATTGTATGCCACTTATGGTATACGCAAATGGTAAGTAAGTATGTTTTAACCATAATAGGCAAGCCAATGAAAGTTAATTTTATGAGAAAAGAACTTTTCTTAGACGAAATTTTTGAAATCCACACAATGAAATACAGTACCACTGCAATTATTTATTTGAATTTAAAAAAAGTGCTTTTTTCATTATTATACTATACTTAGAACCAAGCATTTGCTACAGATATCATCCACTTATAAATAAATTATTACATACTTCGCCTACTGTTGTCTGTGTACACGCCTTGGAGCCATTGGAGGATGTTTTGAACCATCTGATCTGCACTTGTCTGCCTGGCAACTCGTTTTCCTAAAGGTGCACATATTTACATTACATTTCTATATACACTATGCAATTATTTCGTGCAGAATGTAAAAAGCAAGCAAACATTTACGAATGAAATCTGGAAAGGACATAGCATAATTTCTTCAAGTCAGGTAGTGAAAATAGCTATACAAGCCTGTGCTCAAGACTCAAGAGTAAAGTGTTTCGAAGATTATGATGTTTATTATAGTTTCTTTCATATTGTCTATTGTCAGGAGCAACAATTGGTACAATAATGTTTGTTATTATCAAGGCTAATTCCGTATACTTTCTGCAACTTCGCTACCTACTATATACTTATTTATTATTCAAAATACTCTTCATGCTGCTGAGTGTTTATCCAGTGTTTAGTGGTATTCAAGTTACAGAGTCTAAATAAACTACATTTGCGAATTTCATTATAAATTAATGATGCAGTGCGATTGTTGACTATTCTTTAAATAAATATAGGGAGGAAATTTGTTTCACGTTTGTTTTAAAGTTAAAACATTATTACCTACAGTATGAAATCATAGAACATCCACAATAATTCCCAAATATCATTTTCATAATATACAAAAAATTGTAAATGCAAAGGAAAAGCCTAAATTAATAATAACTGAAGCTGAAGCTAAAGAAAAATTAACTGATCATTGTAACAGATGGTTGCTTTAGGCTTAGAAAGATTTGGTTTCGAATTTACAAATTTTCCAGTATAGGAAATTTATACGTGTACCGCTTCATAGTGAAAAATGCTACAGTGTTGCCGGTTCTAAAGACCGTTAACGGAGCATGATGGACAGATTTTCTGCTATACTCTTACATGTTTAAAAAAACGTGACCGGGTTTGCGTCGGGTCCGTTTCGGTTTTTGGGCTTAGCGACTATATAAGGAAAAATTGGGTGGGAGAGAGATTCTTCACTGAACCCTCAGAGCGAATCTATGTAAGTCGAGCGCGACATTTTAGATCGCGTAACATTTATTTTCAACTGAAAGTTTCAAGACGAATTCGTATAGTCGAGATATAGGAAGATTTAAAAGCCGCGTAATCTGTGTGAGATTTTTATTACGAAAGTTGAAATTAGTTTCCAAATTACAAAAGAAAACTGCGCCGCCAATTCGACGAAATTAATGTCGGGTGTGATTTTAAATTCATTGCGAGTTACCATCATGAGTAAAACTAATATAAAGTGGGGTGTTTACGCGAGTGAACATTTTTGTTGTTTTGTTTTGTTGTTATTTGATCAGCACGATCGCGTTTTTCCCACTTTACCCAACATATTCGGCATTGTTAAGATTTCGGGTGTTATAAAACCGCGACCCGAAACGGCGAAGAGAAAGTGACAAAATGTGGATAGTAAAAGTACGAGGACACGTTGTAGTAGTGCATCAAGCGCATAATGGCTGGTAGCGTGAACACGATCGCGACGCCCAAGCTAAAGGGGCCGCGAGAACTACTAAGCGGACGAGACATGAAAGCGATGGCGAAACTTGTTCTCTCTGTTGATGCGACACTTTACGTCCACATTAAAGAGACAAGAACAACGCGGGGTTTATTGCAGAAATTCGCAAGTCTTTACAGCGATTCGGGCTTTACCAGGAAAATTAGCCTTCTCAGAAAGTGAATCCCTAGAATTCTAGTCGATTGCCACAACATGGCGGGCTATGCAAACCAAATTTTTGAGTTGGGGCAATGTCTACGGACTACGCCCGGTTTTGAAATTAACGATGAAATCATTCGAGCGATTATGCTGGCCAGTCTGGCGACCGTCAACGCGGATTCCATTAAAGAAATGCTATTCGACATTGAATTCGGCGACGGTAAGGGTAGGACAAGGTGGTCCCGGCAACAAGGACGCACGGGCCCAAGCCGCCATCCACACAAGAAACCTGGAAACGGTGCATCTCCTTCGAACCAACGCCAAGGTGGCCTCAACAGCGGCGGTCTCACAAGTGACAGTTCCACAAGTGTCAAACGATGTAAATGTAAGTAAGGTGGTCATCTCAAAAACAGATGCCCGCAATTGAAAAAGCAGGCAGACAGCAAGAACAAGATATATTCGAATTTGTTTTCTGATATCTTTCCAAACAGGGTCGGAATAAAATAAAATCGAATATGGTTACTTTCGGTTTTTCTCGAATATCTCCGGAACTGATCGGAATTTCCCAGTTTTTAAAACATCATCTTACCATTATTATGTTCTATAAACGCATTTTCTTCGAATTTAACCGGATGCGCTTCTCTTATGGTTTACGCTTTCCCCATGCTGTTTATTCTAGGACCAACTGTATATGCCGGCCCGTGTGGCGCAGTTCAGTTGAAGCTGGACTGTGGTGCTAGGGCCCCTGGTTCGAATCCGGGTTCGGGCATGGATATTTGTAAATGTATAGTGGGTTGGGTTGGTAGAGCAGCCTTGGCTGAAACCCCGCCCACTCAAAAATAAAGGCAAAATAAATAAATAAATAAATAAATATTTGTCAGGATGTAACTTATCCAAGAACGTTGATGAAGAAATGGTATTATCTTGGGTGAGACGCGAATTCTCACCTATCAGTCTATTGCCCAGTTTAACAAGCAATGATTAAATTTAATCAATGATGAAGTTACAAGTTACCCATGCAATCTCATCTCTGTCAAATCCTAGTTTGCCAAAAAATTAGTTAAATAAAAATTAAAAAAGTTGCAACCACAATTACGATTTTTTTAATTTTCGTTAAAATAATATTCACGAAATTTTGGGCAAATGGTTCATTTAATAACCACTATTAAGAATGGTAGAGAAATTTTTGTTAGAAGACATTTTGGTTGGTTGGTTGGTAGTCGATATGAGGAGGAACGTTACTAATTGATGTTCAGATAAAAGCAGCTTTTTAAGATACATACCAACCAAGGAGAGTGAACTGCAATTAATTTTAATTCTCCTACTAAAGAAAACACTATTTTTGTAGGTTCATTTCAAAGAAGAGCATTTTATCCCCTCCTTCACCTAGTTTTATAATTGGGTTGAAATTTTGCTGATGGCCATTCTCTTTTCTGACTGTTGTGCTTATCACGAAGTACTTCAATTGTGATTTATGTTAACACTAAAATTTGCATAGAAAGTGTTTAAAAATGATAATTATTAAGTAATATGTATTACATTTATTCAAATTTAAAGTTTCAAGATTCTGTGTTTGCCCCATTTAGTATACCACGAGGAACGGCATGTGCGTACAGACACACTTATAGTTTCGAGATGATATTCGAAAGAAAGGATCGTATTTGATTGTAGAATTATGGTGTCCTGTACTGTTACGGTTTAATAAATTTAATGAATGTTAGTTTAATTTTAAGACCCTTATAGAAAACGACTGGGCAGAAATGATTATTTAAAATTTCAAAAAAGAAACAAATGAGACAATCACTGCCTCTAAACCTGAAAACGTCTGTACCTAGGGCGAGTGTCACAATACGGTACGACACTATTGCTAACTTTCTTAGATGTAGATTTAAATGGACGGTTAAATTATCAAATCTACGGAATCTAAACATGTAATTAAAAAAAAAACAAGACAACATCTCATTTTTGAGATAATAACCAAATTGCGATTTTCTATGTGGCACACCCTGTATATTATTACATCATATGAGAGTTTACTAATAATTCTCTACAAAATTTCTTTATTAAATCAATTAACCAATATACACTGTGTCTAAGATAAGGATATCCATCATGGGGATATCGGAAACCATAGAATATACGACTGTGGTCAATTAGGAAAAAGGTTCGCAATTAAAGAGTTATTATCACGCTTTAAAGAAAACCAGAAAATTCAGATTACTTCCGAAGATATTCCAGAAAAACCGAAATTGACCGATTTAGTTTTAATTTTTTTCTAAAGATATTTGAACAGATACACATGAAAAATAAAAAAAAAAGCTTTCTCATTGCCACTTTCTGACCTTTACAAGACACGGTTGAGAGATTTTTAATATAAAGTTTCGTTTCGAAGAAATCATCATTAACTTTATTTTTCTATATGGCCCGCAAAAAAGGTATATACTGTATTGAGTAGCATCCTTATTACGAAATACGCATACGAAACTGTTAGTTTCAGCAAGATGGTGCACCGGCGCACATTGCCCTAATCGTACAAGAATACCTATTGGGCATATTTTCCAGGAAATTTGTTCCCGAGGTATTCTCGCACTATTAGGGCGTTGTGTGCGGGTGCGTTGATTCGTAATAAAAAATGCTACGGAATACAGTATGTACTTTTTATACCGGCCATATAAAGAATAAAGTTAATAATTTCTCCGAAACGAAACGTTGTATGTAAAATCTCGACGGTGTCTTGTAGAGCTCAACAAATTGCAATGAGAAAGTGTTTTTTTTGTATCTATTCAAATAACATCAGAAAAAAATAAACACGAAATCGGTAAATTTCGGTTTTTCTGGCATATCTTCGGAAGTAATCGGAATTTTCTGGTTATCTTTATTTTATCCATGAAAATGATAAATTAATATACTTACATAAAACATAACTGAAAATAGGATTTATTATTGTAGGTTAACAAAACAAAAATAACAGGTGAAATAATTAATATGAAAATAAATTGCAAGTTAACAGAAGTTAAAGAAACGTTTCTATTTTATTCTGTACATTTTAAGTTGTTAACCCTCAATTGGAAGCTTTGGCTACAATTCGGAGGCCCATTGAATTAATTATTCGGCCCGTGTGACGCAGTTGAGTTGAAGCTCGACTGCGGTACTAATGGTCCCTGGTTATAACTCAGGTTCGGGCATGGATATTTGCGAGGATATTTGTAAATGCATAGTGGGTTAGGTTGGTAGAGCAGCCTTGGCTGAAACCCCGTCAAAAATAAAAAAATTATTTTCTAAATCTATGACGGTCTTGTATTGACGTTTATAAAGTTCATTTTTTACACAAACAAAAAGCAAGAAATCCAGAGGGGTTAAGTCTTGTAAAAGAGGCGGTCAACAAACTGGCCCATTAGTTTGTGTCCACCGATCTCCAAATAAATGGTGCAAAACTTTAGCAATGCTGTGAAAGTTATGCGCCGGAATTTAGAAGAACTAATTTTGAAATGTTGTTTTTCTGCATGGGTTTTAGGCAAGTTGTTGGTGTTGAAAATGGCGATGTCTATTATGTAAATGGATTTTGTATTTTATCGATAAGTCTGGTCTATTATTGTGAGTAGTTTCAACCGCGAAAATTTAAAACCCAATTCCAACTTTTTAGTAACTAAGTGACGGGATTTTCTAAACATCCGATACAAACGAGTATATGCAATTACTACGTTTCAAGTTAATTGGGTCATTTGGGTTGCGCCACGCCGAGCATTCCTTGAGGTTCTGCAAGGAGAGTCTTTAGCTACGAGCCAAGAGGCTTAATAAACGAATTTCCAGTTTCTCGAATCCTAATTACAGAGCGATCCAGGACTAGAGGGTAGATTTAAATGCCGTATGTTTAAGGTAAATTATATTGTATTTTTAATACGGACCGTTTTACTTTAAAGATTTTTACGGACTGGAATGTTGACGTTGAGCCAGTATAATTAGAAATATGCTTAAAGATTCGGTTTAATTACTTTTATACTTGTAGGATTTGTCGTAAAAGATTTTTGCATTGTGATCTACATTCGTGCATTCCGTTAAAAGAAGTAAAAAAAGTTTTCCGTTTAAAATCAGTATTAAGTATGTGTGCCGAAGAATATTTGTTTTGTGGAAGTTAAGAGTCGTGTAAGATTTGTCCGTATATGTTACTATTTTGTGTAGGACTGAAGTGTTTGATTTGCAATAAAAAAATTTGTATTTGTGTTTGGTGGTGGTCCTTAAGTCCTCTACCTCCTTGAAATTGAGGAGGGTAAAGTCGTATTGTGGAGGAGTGAGGGTTATGTATATGGCGTTTTGTTAATAGTGTACGGGTGTTTCTCGGGATTTGTTCATCGTATAATCACATAATATGTGACCCAGACCATTATCTCAAAATGTATAATAATTCTCTCTGCTCAAATTTGAACATCATCCCAAAGTCTTTTGGAAACATTCTGTTTGTTGCACTAATAGTAGACTATCTATCAAATCAGACATAATCAACCTTTGCAGTGACTTCCGATTTTTTTATCCGATTTGTACGACGTGTGAATCAGTTGGTACGATCGGACAAAGAAATGAGGAGTTTGTGGGTAAAATCGGACGTACTTGCAGTGTAAAATATCAACGGACTTGGATTTTCACCCGAATTAGACTTATCAGTTGTGATGGTTTTGCATTGACACTTGTAAGGTAGAGTCGTAGAGTTATCATAAAATAAAGCTGATCGAACCTTTTATTTTTTTCTTCGCTTATACACAGGTGTGAAACCTCAAATATATAATAAAACATCTATTTCAACATGTTACTCTTGCACATTTTACGCGCCGTTAATTTGGACAAATTTCTGCTATGTTCTTCTTTACAATACAAGAATAATTCGGGACCTTTTCACGCTTGGATTGCTCATCGTAGTATTTCATTTTATAAAAACTCTCACATTTCACGCCAGTAAACAATACCGGAATCATTTCATTGCAATTGAGTAATGGGCGATGAGTATGACGAAAACGAATCCCTTTCATATAGCATGCATACCGGAATACGCAAAAGCAATAAATAACGTGAAGGTACTTACCATTATCGACAAGATCTTTTTTGATAAATAGTGCTTGGCGTTGAGATAGTGTCGGTGGTAAACAAAATATTGTCAGGCAAATGACAAATGTAGCGATATTTGGTTTCATCCTGAAACAAAAAAAAGAAATCAATACACTTAGGCATCTATATGAAATAAATAAATATTAACTGGTTAAGTGGAAGATCAAACTTCATTTGGACGTCCGAGTGGAAGATTAATGTTGATATAATTTATGAATTTGGTTCATGAGTGTCATAAAGATCTAAAAAATAACTAGGCAACCCTATTATGGTGCGAGGAGTCTGCGTGAAAGTTTAACAAAACAATATATTATGCAGATTCATGAGACTATCAATAGGTTTTTCTTCACAGTGAATTACGCTCATAGTTTACGTAATTACCTAGATCTTTAGACGACTTTAATTAAATATTAGAATTACCTACGACGACCATCCGCATCGTTTCCGGCTGTCTGATTTATATTCATGAATATAAAAACAAAGAAAGAAAACGTGATGCGGCTACGCTTAAAGTTCATTAATTGTCATTCTTTTACAAATTTTAGGAAGGAAAACGTATAACTAAAATGTCATTAGCTTAATTCTGTGAACGAACATAATGAGAAGGCTTTATGAAGTTTAATTGGCTTTTACTTTGGAAGTGTCGTAATAAATATGCGACGGTACCTAATTGTGTACGTTTTCCTAAAAGCATTAAATGCGGAAACGGAACGAATACGAAATGAGCACCACTACGAAAATATAACAATTTTGGAATTGTATCATATGGTGGATGTCGCATTTTGAAGGTATTTTTTTACTCATATAAAATCATTGATCACCTATAGAAAATAGGCCACAGTGCAAACCGTAATTACTCCTACTAATACAGAAAAAAGCTCTGAGTTGTGGTGATGCAATTAAAACACGTTTAAAGTGTGAACTTTTAAAACGAGAACTAATTTCTGACAACCATTATTCCGAAAGTGCACTATGCATAACGCGTATGATGCATTATGAGAAAAGTACGTCAATCACTTTAATATGGACATGGTCGAATCAGAACACTACACATTCAATAAACATCTCTACAGTCCTTCTCATTTATTGATCCACGTGGTTTGGCTTCGTTTTTGGAGGAACCCTCGTCGAGTGGAGTGATTTGCTAGGTGAAATGTTTTTGCTTGTATCGACGAATGGATGTTTTAATAAATTTCTCGAAATCTAACTTACAGATGTGCAACGATTTTATGCAACATGATATAGATCGACATGGTAAATTTACAGCTTTATCCCCACCTGGTTTTACAGATCAGAAATACTTTAGCTAGAGGTCCACCGTCCATACAATTTATTCAAAGTAGGCACTTGGGGTTCGTTGATCCTGCATTTAAGAAAATGCAAGTGATCACTACTAATTGAAATATTTTCAAATTCAAATTTCATGGAAAATGGAAAATTAGTGCGATTAGGTCGTTGTGTGCAAGTGCACCATCCTGTTGAAACCAACAGTTTCCAACTTTTGTTTTTTTTGTGTGTCGTACGTCTTTGTATTCGTAATATAAAATGCTACTCAATACAGTAGGTATGTACTTTTGTTACGGACCATATAAAAAAGTAAAGTTGATTATGATTTCTCCGAAATGAAACGTTGTATAACAATGATGTCTTGTACAGCCCAAAAAGTGGCAATGAGAACGTGTTGTTTTGGCATATCTTCAGAAGTAATCGGAATTTTCCGGTTTTCAATAATTCTTTTCCCTAATTTGACCAACCTCGTATCTTTTATGGTTTTCGAGATCCCCATGATAAACATTCTTATCCTGGACCGTTATACCAAATTAATTCTATAACATTTGACAACAAATTTTGTTCATCTGCAATGTCAGAAAGACTACAAGACGAAGATACGATCAATCAGGAAATGCCTCGCCATCCAGGATTTTGAGAAAGAGACAACGCCAGGTACGGAACTCCTGTCGCGTTCCCTTCAGGAAGATTTTACATCTTCAGCAACCGCTCCACTCTAGAAAGCATTTCCGGTGGAAGAAGAGATCAGAAGAGAGGTATTATTATCTGGAACTCCATAGGCAATCCGTCACCAAAGCGCGTCTTAAGCGCTCTTAAGGATCAAAGTATACGAGAAGTTCGCATGCAATTTTCATTTAGCTGCACAGCACCTGCGGAATTGAAGGCACCTACTGTGCAGTTAACTAAGAGTGTATTGATTAATAGACAACGGTTCTCATTTAATTTGACTGTGACTGTGAGATATGCATATTGCATATTTTAGTTTATTATATTTCGATTATGTGTTTTGTTTTTAATTTGCTTTTTGATTAACTTAATTTGACTTTTATTTAATGTTAAGGTTTTTCTCCAGTCGTGCTCTTTTTCCCTTGGCAGTCTGCGTTTGCTACAGTGCGTCACCTTTAGGCTTTTCTTGCTTTGCTTTTAATGTACGTCATCTAACTTCTCGGGCTTTCAGAATAATTCCAAAATAAATGAACTTGCAGACATTACAGCGTTTTAATTGAGTGTTCCTGTCAGACTCAGTCCCGAGTCATTGTATTATCTTCGGGTAACGTAGCGAGCCCTACCTTATACTATCCGATCATGTGCCATTCTTTTGTTTCAAATTTAAGCGGGAACTCAGTTTTGATGTTGGAATTTACAACGTTGCCGCTTTGCTTCAAAATCTGTCATGTTAGTTTCGACCCTGGGAGTGGGTTAAGATCAGTACAACGTATTTGTTTGTAAATATTTCGTAAGATCGGTTCTCTTTAAATTTTGTGTTTATAGTAAGCGGGTTGTGATAAATATTTTGTAGTATTGTTTGACATAATATGTTGCTAAATAGCAACCCCATACTTGGGACACATCGATGGAAAGCTACTGAAAAATGCTTTCCAGTGGTACCCATAAAGTCACTATTCATTAAGACAATTTAACAAAAATTTAATAATTAACAAAAAAAAAATAAACAAAGATTTGGTCGCTAAATTGGAAGAAACAGGATCTGTTATCAATAAAAAAAGAAAGCAACCAAGATTGCTTAATGAAGCATCTCAGGTTGAAGTTTTTGGCCAATTTGCCATAAATCCCTCAATGTCAACATTTAGTTTTTTTGTGTTAATTATTAAATTTTTGTTAAATTATCTTAACAATAATAATAATAATAATAATAATAATAATAATAATAATAATAATAATAATAATAATTTATTGCCCTACAGATTACAAAATCCAATTACAGGACAATTTAATCAAAATTAAAGTGGTGTACAAAATTGTTAGAAGTAAATGACATAAAATATCAAAGATACACGTAAGAAAAAAAACAAGAAAAATTATACAATAATAATAATACTAATGGAAATTACTAAATAACATTCTAAGCAAAATCAAATACCAATTTCTGCTAGGAGGTCGCATAGAGGACTATGATGAATATCAATATGTTTCGATAAACTATTAAAAATTCTAATGGTATGGTATAAAGGCGATTTAATTAACATATTAGTATGGGGAGTAGATTGATAAAAAGTTACAATATTTCTCGAAGAACGAGATGGTACATGAAAGTTTATAAGTGAAAGTAAATAAGGACAATCAATTAAATTATGTAATAAATTGTACAAAAAAGAGATACAAATTTCACAACGTCTGCGTTCTAGGGATTTAAGGAAAAAAACGTGAAAGCAAACGTTGTTGGCTATAACCTCGTGGGGGATACTGATGATCAATTCTATAAACTAAAGATTTTAAGAATTTGCGTTGTACATATTCAAGCTTATCTTTCTGGTATTTTACAAAGGGATTCCACACTATAGCACAATATTCCAGTCTCGAGCGAACTAAAGAATAGTATAAGGTCTTCAACGTTGTGAATATTACTGAATATTGACTTTATGGGTACCACTGGAAAGCATTTTTTAGTATCTTTCCGATGTGTCACAAGTATGGGGTTGCCATTTAGGATTTTTGAAGAGGGGGGGGGGGGAGGTTAAGGGAGAGTGGGGGGTTGTCACTCATAACGTCATTCTGGTTCCCCCTTGACACCCCCGAAACGGTTTTGCGCGATTTTCTTTATCTTCTTTAGTTTGGAAAATATGACCGACTACAAGTTTTAAAATGGACACCCCGTATATTCCGGGCGCGAAGATTTCATCAAGATTATATCCAAGTTCAAGCAATTACCGTTACATTTTGACGCCCATCAGGCGGGCCCGAATTAGCAAAGAAACTACCGTTGCAATTCTGTTTTTTATTTTAATTTTGCTTGATTGTGTACATACAAAAATGTGTTCTTACAACACTAAGAAAGAGTAAACTAAAAAATAAGTTTTTTGAAATCAAAAAATTATTTGTTTCACCCCGTCTACTAAATTTCTTGTCAATAAATATTTCTCATTTTTCGATTATTGGATCTGTGATTATTTAAATTCACTTTTATCGTTTATTTAAAATTATGTTGCAATACCCCCGTACCGTAATCAATTTATGCGGTTAGTTCCCGTTTTAGTTTTCAGAAGAAATCGTAATTTTGGACTGAAACAGTTGGAAGCTACTCCAGACTCCAGGTAGGTTTACTTCTGGTGGTAATGTTACTCCCTGAATGCGTTCCGAGGGCCTAGATGCTCTATATAATTTTTTGTACCTTATATGCTGCGCAGCGTGTGAGTTAGAGAATGAAACACTTATCAACTTAGCTTTGAGGAAATGGCTTCTAACTAGCCGTTACTATCAAAGATAAAAGAAAGAAATTCTTTGTTTTTCACAATGAGTGTTAATATCAGTTTATTTAACCCCTTTTTTATTTGAAAGGCGCTTCTCCGACTGGAAATTGTTCCTTCGCGTAAATTTCATCACTCATAAATAAAGGGACTTGCTACGAAACTCCCGTTTTGACGTAACATTAAACTTGCAGGTAACTCACACTTTGCCACCAATCTGAGTACTGCTTCTTAACGACGCAATTGAAAAATAGTAGCAAAGTTCTTGCATAGAATTTTTTTTCACTCAAAACAAAGCTTGTAAAACTTTATCGCTATTAGATAAACTTTTACAAACGAAAATTTTAGCGCACATAACTTGGTACGTAACTG